GCTGCAATCCAAAAATAGCCGGGTGTTGTGGCAAGCACCTGTAGTCCCAGCTACGTGGGAGGTAGAGGCAGGAGAATCACTTGAGCCCAGGAGTTGGAGGTTGCTGTGAGCTGTGATGCCGCAGTACTCTACCTAGGGTGACAGCTTGAGACTCTGTCTCAAAAAAAAGAGAAGAAAAACTTCACTGTGACTCAGCCCAGAGGGAAGATTCTCAATTCCATCTGAGTTGCTGCTCACTTACAAGGCCCTTTCCCTGGCAGCTCACGAGATTCCCTCACCCCTCATAGCCCTCAGGTAGCCAAGAGAAGAAAAAGGGTTCCAGTAATTTCCTAGGAAGAAAAGTCCAGCAAGGAGTCAGTGGTGGGGCACACACCTGGAGGGGTGCACAGGCTGCTCACACCAGCATTGCATCCTCAGAGGCGCTGCATGAACCCCAGCGCCTAAGACTGGACACGCACCAGGGTCCTCGGTGGGTGGCGTGGAGCAAGGAGGACAGAATGACTGACTGACAGGTTACTTTTGTCTTCATTCAAATCAGATGACTTTTTTGAGTAAGGCTCAAAAAAGAGAGAGAGGCTGTGGGCTCAGCCTCTGGGGAGTCAAGGCAGGACTCACTGTCATGGCTGCAGCACACAAGCCCCCACTGCAGTGCTGGGCTGTGGAAGTACCTGGTCTTCCAGCACTGTGACCCACACGGGTAACCCCAGCACTCTCGGATGCCGAGGCAGGTGGAGCCCTTGAGCTCAGGAGTTCAAGACCAGCCTAAGCAAGAATGAGACTTGTCTCTGCTAAAAATAGAAAAACTAGCCATAATTGTTTCTGGTACCTATAGTCCCAGCTGCTCAGAAGGCTGAGGATCACTTGAGCCCAGGAGTTTGAGGTTGCTGTGAGCTATGACGCCATGGCACTCTACCCCGGACACAGGGCAAGACTCTGTCTCAAAAAAGAAACAAAACTACATGGTATGAAGAGCTTGCCCCGGGGAGGGGAAGGCACTGGGAAGGCCCTGAGTCACGGTGGAGGGAAGACAAGGAAAGGAGCTGGAAAAGGACAGGCCTGGGACTGAGGCTCAGAGAGTGACAAGTCAGCCCACAGCAAGGTGAGGACAGGGCATTGTGCCCGCAGAGAGCAGCACGCGCAGAGCCGTAGAGAGGGAGGAGCATGGCCAAGCAGGTCCCATGGCTGAGCCTTAGGGGCGCGTGGGGAGGGTCTGCACAGGGAGAGGGGACCCTCGGCCTTGCGAGGGTGTCGCCTTTTATCCCAAAGCTGTTGAAGGAATTTCTGTAGCAGAGCCACCCTCTGAGGTGCGCGTGTTAGAAACAGGCCTCCCAGAGCAGTGAGGGAGGTGCAGCGAAGGCAGGAGGGGCCGGGCATCCTGGATGTGGAGACAGTGGAGAGGGGCAGGATGTTTCTGTGACACGGAGGCAGGAGGCAGAGGAGTGTCTGCGAGACCACTAAGCATTGGAACCAAGAGGCTGTAA